TAATGCTATACCTTTGCATGAATTAGCTAGACTATAGTTACACCCATAACGCCTAATATTCTCTTGCGATGCTAACTGTATTCAATTGAGTAAACAGCAATATTAATAAGGGCTGCTTTTAAAGAGTCTAAAGTATCTTTTGCACATCAAGTCGAAACGCCAAGAACGAAAAGGAACTTCCTTTAGATGACCCGACTTCGACATCCTATAGTGAAAAGGCTTTCTTTAATCTTTTCAAAAATGTATTCAAAACGATGCAGATCCTGGTGAAGTTATCTGGAATTAGTCTTACTAGCAGATGCTTGTAATGCTCCGGCGTACGACAAGAAGTTATAAGTTAACTTCAGCTTAAAATGTCAGAGATCAACCGATAGTAGCCGCTTTCGATAGACAGAAATAAACGAGTCAATAACAGAAATGATAGCAAGAACTCGCATTGAAACTCACCTTCTATGTAAAGAATTGACAGAAGAATGCTTTATTACTTCGTAACGGCCTAAACTTATCGATCATTTCAGTGTGATCATGTACCTCACTCCGCCATATTTGTTTGTGTTATGGGAAGGTTCCAATAACTTCCCGTTGGGCTTCCTTTGCTGTTTCGGGCTTCCTGTTTTAAAGCACGTTTTCAAGTGGACAAGATGGCGGATTGACTTCAGCTTTTCAGAACTAAATACTATGCAATTCAATCTCAAAATGGCACTTTTTAAGCATTTGCTTCTAAAGAAGCAGCCTAACTATGTTATGCCGTTTTTTCGCTCGTGTACGGGTGYAATTAGGACTGGCTTTGGCAAGTCTTTTTCAACGCATTTTACCCTGCTATCTCAGACTGAAATATCGGGTTCGGCTTTTCAAAGTGCAAGGAAAACCCAATTTGCGAATAATTTAGTGTCTACGATATCAAATCAAGTAAAAGATTGTTTGAAAGGCAAARTATCTCAGGAATACGTCCTTAACAATTTCTCAAGATACAAGAGAAATAAKGAACTTTCTGACGGTGATGCTGTGAGAATTCTTTTTCGACTTGCAAAGACGCAGCATCCTTTTTGGAAAAGCAACGAAGAAGCTGTGGCAAAATTCTATAAARTTCTCATGGACGACATCATTGATAACAGAGATCAACTGAAACCTTTTCAAATAGCTGATGTGCTCTGGTCTCTTGGAAAGCTTGGTAGCATTGACTCAGATCTGTTTGATAAATTTGGAAGGTTGATTCAAAGTATAAAGGACTTTAGTGACTTTTCAAATGGAGATTTAGCAATGATTTTATGGGCACATGGCAAAGCAAATATATCAGCACCTGTAGTATTCATTATTATTCAGAAGGYGATTCTCGAACGTGGATTTGAAAGCTTCACAACAAAAGAAATTTGCCAAATCGTCTGGTCATTTGCTCGAGCTTCAACAAGAACTGCAAAGCTTTTTGCATCAGCCAGAGAAACAATTCAAGGAAGGGATATTACAGAGTTCAGTAACCATGATATAATTATGCTTCTATGGGCTTATTCAGAGAAGGGCAAAAATGTGAACCTCTTCTTTAGGTTCTTTAAACTGGAGCTTCTCAATGGCATCCGACTGGCTCAATGCAGTGCCAAGGATCTTTCCCTCATACTATGGTCTTTTGCAAACCAAGGGATCCAAGCACAGGATCTATTTGCTTCAATAGAGAAGGAATTACTGACAAAATCAAGTATAGAATTGGATGATCAAAGCCWAGTGGTTATTGCATGGTCGTTTGCACAAACAGAGAACAAAAGYCCTAGACTTTACAAGTTTATTGAAGCACAAATGAAGGAAAAGAAGCTGTCAAAGTGGCCATTAAACAGGCTTGTACGCATTATGTGGGCTTTTACAAAATCAGGCTTTTTAAGTGGAAAWGCTCTTAATAATATCACAACTGCCATGGTTGACAAGGATTTCAGTAWGCTGTCACAAACTGAGATTGAGGAGATGGTTTCCATTTTTCAGTATTGTAAGCGAAAAATCTCTCCTAAACTTGTTTCTCTAGTTGAACTAGAACTGATGAGAAGAGCAGGAGAACCAACAACTGATGACTGACTTGCATTTTCATAAATGGGAAAGGGGATGGTTGAATTTTAGTAAATCACCAGCCTGGTATTTTTGGGGCATCTAAATTGTTTGGTCCATAATTTCAGCTGAAAACTCCATCAACAATTAAATATGTTGAAAAATGGAGATTCCCTTTACTTTTTTTCTAAAATTTTATAACAATTACATGTATTACATGCTTTGATATTCTCGTACACAGATTGTTCTCATTGCCAAATTTCAAACCTTGGGGGACTGGGCAAAATCTCCCTAATTAGATAATCATGTACAGATGTGTCTGAGTTTTGACCGTTTTTTTGGACACATTCATTTCTTTGGAAATTTTAGAATATTTCAAAGGCTGTTTCTTGCACACTATTGTACTGATTGTCATCAAATTTTGGAATTTTGCATTTCTCAACAAGGGCTTTCTGTCTATGTATGTCTTATTTCTTGATTATCTAATTTAGGGATTCATCCTCGGGAACCCAGTGGTAATCTTCTGTCGTTCGTTCCTCACTCCCAGAAAAAATACCCCTGGGCACGAAGTCTGTTAGACCTTGTTCTCGATTCGAAATTCAAAATGGTGGCCAGTAGGTTAATCAACCAATCAGAATGTTTGAGTGAATCACTCGACCAATCAGAAATTTACCGGCCGCCATTTTGAATTTTGAATCGAGAACAAGGTCTAACAGACT